GAACAGACCAAGCGACCATTCCTYACACAGCTCCTCCTCAAGGCCCTTCACCATCTTTGTTGCCCTCCTTGGATGCTCTCAAACATGCAGCAACTAAAAAAACCCTACTTATTGAAATTATGCTGCAGTAAAACAGTCCCATCTATGTAAAGAATAAAGGTTTTCAGTCAAACTGAAGGTCTAACTACACCAGATCCTCCAGGAATTATGATTTCCAGTGTTTAATTATGCTTTGTGAACAATTCTTCCCTTCTGTTTTAAATTTCAGAATGATTCACTTTATTTTATTTATCATTCTGTTCTTTTGTTATGAGAAATCCATGTGCCAAAGCTTGGTCTGATTTCTGGAGCTCGGCAAGAGCTGACAGGATGATTCACCCTTTCCACATCTACCCAGATGACATTTCCCCTGTTCCAAACATGCACTATCAAACTCCATGTCAACATCCTGAGCAGATGTGCTTTCCAGTGGGGTTGGACCTTAGATTGGAGAGAAGGCAGTGGCTCTAAGACATCCTGTCTCATTTTTGGACATGATGACACTACAGTCACAGAGATCCTGCACCACTGTCCACTGAACTCTTGACCTCACACATCTTCCCTSCAATGGACATTAAATGAGCCACAGTTAATGGAAAGCCAAGCACCAGGCTCCAGGGAAGATGTAGAGCATCCTTATATTTCCATTTCAGAGAAAGATGGCACGTTTTGGCAAGTATTTGCATTGTGGTGACACTGTAGGTTCCCCTGAGCACAGACACAAAAGGAAAAGGATTTGGCCTAAATAAATTAACCAATTGAATGAGGACCTTAAACACAAGCAGACACTCTCCATCCTTTAACCACAATTAATAATTGTGCAACAAGGCAAAGCAGGGGATTTGTGTGTTCCAGGCATAGGAATATATTCCAAAGGTTCAAGCAGAAGTCAGAGGAGTGGTAAAAACAAAGACAAACGCCTRGGATACAAAGTAGGAAGGAGAGTTGATCTCTTATCTCCAGGGTAAATCCTTCTCTTTTGGCCTTGTGTGAGGGTCAAGAACTTGTTCAGTGTTATGAATGCAGACAGAAAATTCCTGCTCTGTGCTCCAAGGATTTCACAATCTTGTTGMACTTAAAGTCACAAGCTGCATAGGCACCACATAAAACATGAGTTATTCTAGCATCACAGTCCATCCTGGGTAAGAAGTCTATTTTGATCCCTTTTGCATGGTCATGTAAGTTTCATCCTCCATGACATTACATCAGACCTGAGACAGTCCAAACAGTCCATGGCTGGTATTTCTCACTCTTTCAGCACAAAAATAAATGGGAAAYAGAAAGGAAATAAGTCATGGGAGAACCCACACAAGGTAAAAAACAAATAAACTATTATTCCTTCCAAAGATGGAGTAGATAATCAGTAGAAAATAGCATTTCATGGGGTGCCCAGAGTCAAATGCCTTTCTGTGAAGAATCCCTCCTTCAGGATTCAGCCTAGCATTAAAGCTCTGCTTRGGCTYGATCTGCACAMAGTCTTTAAAATTTGGGATCCCACCCAAGCACACACAGCTCAGCAGCCTGGCATGTTTAAGACAGCCTGAAGTGTGTAGCCATCAAAGGAGAGGAGGAAGCCAACACCACATCTCCAGCCAGCTGGCCRGGTGGCCATGGCCCATAGCCCAGTGGGACACACCGCGGGCTCATCCAACGCCACCATCGGCACCGTCTGAGGCCCAAAGTGAACCCAGAGCCACAGGTGCTGCCATGACCCCTCCTCAAATGTCCAGGTGATGGATCCAAACACCTCCTCTGAGGCTGGGAGGCTCTGCAGAGTGGCAGTCAAAGACATTGCTGTCAGCTTTCCACTCAGCCTCTTTCAATCCTGCCACTGCCTTTCCAGGCTGAGAYTACAGATTTTGCATTATGTTTTGCTACCAAAACCCATCAGAGAAAGGGATCTCCAGTGTCCTGTTGTTGTAAAACACAACTTCCTGAAGAGAGCCTCTGTCCTTTGTTTTATTTATTTATTTTCCTTCAAGTGCAGCCTAAACCCTCCCTTCCTGTTGGGAACAGCTGCAGCATGYGGCATCAGCCTGCCAAGCCTGAATGACTGTGAAATATCATTTATCTTRGAGCAAGATAGCATCAAAGAGAACAGCCATGTGGGCCTGACCATGCGTTCATTACATAGCTGTGCTTGGGAGGAGAAGGATAAATTGCAGTATCAGAGGCAAAAGAGGTCCCACTTCTGAGTTAACACKCTTGGACCTGAAAGCACTGTCACATCTGAAAGCACTACTGAGAAAAAAAAAAAAGGGAATTTTCATATCCTTACTCAGAAAAACACTCTTTCAAAGGTTGGAGATGCAAAAGTATTCACCAGGGCAGGAAAGCAATATTTATTCTATAGGTTAATGGGAACACCATGGCCCCAAGATCAAGTAATTGGCTGATGAAAAYCACAGAGCTGACACACACTCTTCCCAGCATACCTGTGTTATCCCACAGATCTGGTGAATCCTGTATGAAAGCCACAGTCCTTAGATAAAAATTGCTTTCAGATACACTTCTGTTATCTTCTCCCTTTAACCCTTTTAGGGAGCTTTTGCTCTCCAACAGAAGCAACTGCTATTTAAAGATTAGGAGAGCGTTCAGACGAACTGTAACTTAATGATTAATCACATATTTTCCCCTCCACTCTCATCTTTTGCTCTGGGTTCTTTTGGTACCTCCTGTCTCCCGCAGGACCAGTTGGCTGAGAGCACTGGGATGCTTTTTGTTCARTGCCATTCTCAGGCTCTCCCAGAAGCGTGCAGGGCTGCTTGGTGCTTCCCTTGTCAACCTATTTCCCATTAATGATGAGTGGAAAGGTCAGGCAGGTCCCTTTAATGGCCTGTATGAGGGCAAACAGCAGCCTTGGGAAATGGGTCACTGATTTCTGGGAACCACAGTCCATTCAATAAGCAAAGAAAGAAGTCTCAAGAAAAGTGAAGATAACAACATGTTAAGGGGACTTTCTCATATGGTTTGGTTCCACCAGAATCCTCCTGTATAAACTTGGGTATAACTCTTCCAGTGATTTTGGTGATGGGAAAGAAGTTTTAATAAGAACACAGACAGATGCAGGAAGTGTTGCACAGAAGCAAAGGGGTTAAGCACCAGCAGTTAACTGTGCATGCCATTTTGAGTAGTTTGCCACAAAATTCCTAACAAGGTCCACACTACTGGCTCTAACATAGTAAAGCCATCACTACCCTCATCCTTCAGTTCATCTGCAGCAGATAAGGAATCTTTTCTCCACAGCAGCTTTGAAACATCTTAGTGTCAAAGAACCATAAAATCATACAATGGTTTGGGTTAGATGACCTTAAAGATCATCTAGTCACTACCCTCCTACCATCTTAATACCACGTTGCTCAAAGACTACCCTTCTTTTTCTTGAATAGGATGATGAAAGATGTAAAAGTTTTGCAAGACAACAATTCTCGTGCCTCAGAACAGAAAACCCCAATTTTACTTGTGCACATTGTGTTTCTTACACAGAAGAAGCAGCTATCAAAAACACGCCCATCAGTATTTTCAGAGACCATTTTCATCAGGTATAAATGAATGTCACACCACAGAGCTGAAGCCAGTGAAGCAACGTCAGGAGTTTTTTCCTGTTATTTCCCTGTCTTTGTTTTGTGCCTTGCTTTGCTGTATCAGTAAATGTTCCAGAGCTCTCTGCCATGAGCCCAGAGTGTGGAAATGCTGACTGAAGTAGTTTACTGCATCCATGCTCACAAACAAGCTGTTATTTGCTGTTGGCATGTAAATAAGTCACTGTTCTTTCCATCCTATAGCTGTTAAATAAACACTGTGAGCCAAGTTCATGGCACTGATTTCTTGTAGGAGGTCACTCAAATGATTTCACAGAAATATCCTGTGACAATTTTGCAAAACAGGATGGCCCCAGCCTGAATTCATTACTCCGTTTTTTTCCACTTCCATCCTGATGGTTACTGTGTTTTTTTTTTGCTGTCACGGGCAGGCTGTTAATTCATCCTGCCTCCATAACAGCCACCAGGAAAATGGAAACTTTGTCCATTGTTTAAGGCATATGCATTAAAAATTAGACATATTCTGGTGTGACCTAGAAGTCCAAGTCCATGTCAGCTGAGTTTGCTGCTCCATGCCCACTTACAATAACTTGATGCACACAGACTGACTGTGTATGCACCCTTACAATAACTTCATGCCACTGACTGCAGTACAGCATGCAGACAGCCAAACAGATAGCTTTAAATGGCAGCAATATAAACAAGGCAGCTGGCAGCCTAGTCCAGGCAGAAAAACTCGCAGTGGAGTATGAGGAAATTAACCTCTGCAGACCAATAAATACATCTTATTCATAAATAATACCTGCCTGTTCAGTAAAATAAAAATACCAGGACTAGGCAAAAGCCAGGTGTCTCATCTTTATTCTACCAATGGCAAACTGGGGCACGGATTAAATGTTTTGCCAAAAGTGCCATCAAAGCCATGTGTCAGAGCCATGACTGGAGTTAGTAGTGCCTCAGTGTGTTCTGCAGCCACAGGTTCCTCCTTGTTTGGAGCCCACTGTAGGTTCGTGCTGTATTCTGATGTAACTACTGTGACTTGGTAAATGCCATCCTCAATTTTCACCTGTTAAAAGGACAGGATCGGTCAGACTGTGAGTGTTAAGGGGGATGCTGGGCAATGAAAATTGAAAAYTCTTACTTTCCATCTCACCCACTAATGGTGGACATTTTAGAAAAGGGAGTCAGCAGCAAGTTTAGCACTTAAATAACATCAACAGCAGTGGATAGGGGTTTGGGAAGTGGATTTAATAGGTGCGTCTAGATTTGGCTAAGAATGAAAAGAGCATTTTCTTTCCACTGGTTGCTGGCTAATMAAAGCAAAGGGGTGGAATACATCCAACTTGCAAAACTTGAATACAGTTACTGCTATCTGCAAATGGGTGCCCCTCCCCGCTCATGTGAGCTACACAGGCAAAAGAGAATGACACATGTGCTGTTTCCTTTTCCAGTTGTAAAGGGGTCAGGAGCCAGGCAAGGAGAGCCCGAACAAGAGGAGCATTTTCCTGGGTTCTTCCAGCTGTTCTGTTCAATCCCGCCGCCTGTTCTGAGCAGGGAAGAGAGACTGTCAACACAAATAAGGCATTTTTCAAAGGCGTAAATTATGAGTTCCCAAAACAATGCGACATCTCAACCACGTGAGTACCCTTACCCCCCCTCCCGCTTACAGTAAGAGTGGATTTATCAGTCTGTCGCTTAAGGAAAAGATTGTCTAATGCCTTTCATCTGGGGGGGTGAAAAAAAAGGAATGCCTGAGACTAATCCTGAAGGAAAAAAGTTGTGAAGAAACTGTTTTCTTTCTTAATTCTTTGTGTTTGTGTGTGCGCGTGTGTGAGTGAAGAACTCAAACAGGCTCTGCAAACTCTGGCTCCTAAATAGGAGCGAGCAAAGTCAGTAACATTTCCGCCTAAACCCCAGCTTGGAAAAGTTTCATTTGAGTGTTTTTCTCTCTCTCCGCCTTCAGGAATGAAGTTATAGAGCATTTCGAAAGCGTACTGACACTTTTGTGAGATAGTAATGGTGCTGCCCAGCTAGCGTTTAGAGTCTCAAGCTGTCTGTGTGTAACATGAGACGCCAGCCACAAACTGACAGTCTATATTTAAAGCCACACTGTGTTTCTGCTCCTGGAAATTTAGAAACACGGGCTTGAGGACAAGCAAATAAGTTTTTCAGCGAGAGAGGGTACAGGAGGGCAAGTCCTCTGTTTGCATAACTCTGCATATTTCAGTAAATTTTAAAAGAGAGAATTTGGCCCGAACAGTCAAGTGAGCACAGGGGCTCAGCTGCAGTATGGTAGTGTTCATTTTGGGACAGTATTAAAAAAAAAAAAAAGGTGAGGGAAAGGGGATGGATTGTGATTTGATAAGCTGAGAAAAGTCTTGAATTTTTGGTGCTGCAATATATTTTATTTACTTTTTTATGGCTTTAGTGTGATCCTATTTTAATTAATTAATCCTAAACAAGTATGCTTTTAATAAATAAACTGCCAATAGCAGAACTATTTATCATACCATGGTGTCAGTAATGAAGGCAGAAAGTGCAGACAGGACTGCTGGGAGCAGCCTGCAATTCGGGGTTTGATCCAGATATTGCTGTGGGGTATTTGTTCTGTATGGCTGTGGACACTGACAATGTTTCCCCAGCTTTGAATGAGGCAGGCTGACCCAGMAGAAAAGACACAGTAAGCAGAATCTCTGGAATCCCAACCAGCAATTTCTAGTTACCCTTTAGTCCTTTTTGCAAGTTCTAACCAACAGGAAAGATTAGATGCTACCTTTACATTTTATTCTGCTTCATTCCGCAGTTTGGAGTATTGTAGCTTGTTTTCTGTTGCAGTTTATTTTCTGTTATGGCTAGGAAAGATACAGGCAGGCAATTCAGAACTGTAAGAGCATGGGTTTGGAAAAGCTTGAGTAAATTACTGCCATTGGTGCTCTCCAAGCGTGTCCAGGAGGTGGTCATGACTCACTGAGGTTCTCCTCGTGTATTGTGAAATATCAACAAGGGTCCAGACCCAGTCTGGTGTATTTAGGGACAGGCTTGGCCAAGTGACACATCCAGGGCCAGCTCTACAGTCCCGAATACGTTACAAACCCCTTCTCTGCCAGACCCCACAGAAAGTCCTAGGGGGAAACCGGATGAGGAGTTAGTGCCCCATGGGGCCTTTTGTCTGTTCATAATGAAACAGGCAGATGCATCAGGTTCTCTTGGTTTTTTTTCAAAATGGACAGGAATTCTCAACTTGAACTATTTTAAAATCRTATGACTCTCTCTGTGACAATTAATGGCTTGCAATCCATCTAGAAGTAGTATTCTGGCTGAAAAATAGCCACAAKGTATTCTTGTCTTTGATTGTCCTTTTGGTGGTTTTTTTTCTTTTTAATTAGATGGAACGAGTTTATAATTTAAGAACAAAAGTTAGAGGGAAGCCTGATAATATCATATTTCTGTATAGTGCAAGTTTGGTGCATTGATAATGGTTGAGATTTTGAGGGAAGGTCTTTGGGAAAAAGGTTTTATTTTCTAGTAAAATTCATGCCATTTTTGCAAGAAACTAGACATTGAAAGTTCTATGACAGGCACTGCGCAGCATGGACAGGAGATGTTTGCCAGAGAGGAAGAATAATTGGGAAAACAAATTTGCTTCATAGCCACAGTGAAAATCTTTGAGATGGGTGTGAAAATGCATTAAAAAGCATCAAAAACATTTSACTGTACTGAACTATTAAATCTTTGCCGAATACCTGCAGGTGAGACCACAGAGCAGCTGCCAACTGATGTAAACTGAACAGTGTTAAGTTACCTAATTGCTCATGTTCTTTGCTTATCTCCTTGTATTCTCTCACAGCTGATAAGAAATTTTTATTCATTCTCTAAATGCAGTGTGATCCCGTCAATCCAGRGGGGAGCAGAYTRCTGTTTCAGATTTTAAATAKTCAACTCTGTGAATGTTGTAAATGTGTTCTGCCTCTGTATGRGGATGGCCCTCTCTCACCTTGGGCACTTCCCATGCCCATCTCGGACATCCTCCAGACACTGAGTGGGGTCTCTGTGCACACAACAGAGGCAAGGGACACAGAACTCAGGGGTGCATTTGCCTCCTGCTCAGTTGTACGAGCAGTTGCTGCCTGACTTGCTGTGAAACCTGATGAACTCCACAGGTTGGGCAGTCACAGTTCAGCTGGCAGCTTTTGCCCTCTTCCTTTCAGCCTGCAGTGACCCTATTTTGAGGCAGTGGGACAGCTCAAATGGGGTGAAGGATTAGGACAACAGACGTCATTGGGTCAAAAGTTCAGCCTGGGGAGGCAGTGATCCATGCAAAGCCATCCTTGTGGGTCAGAAGTGTTCATCCCCTTGGAGAAGGTGCTCTGCAATTTACAGGATTCCATCTGTATCCAGCAGGCCAGGAGTGTTTATCTGRGGCCTCCTGTACTCCAAATGGCAGCTGTCAAAGGAGAGCAGGTTGTGGAGACTTCTCTTCCTCATCACCTCTCAGCAGATAAGCTCCTGCTCCTGGGTGGACAGGGAAGCAGTGTGGTGTGTGCAGAATTGGCCCAAAAGSAAACCAGAAAGCGAGGTTGGTCCTCAGGCCATGGCCCAGCTGCAGAGGGAGGAACAGGGCGAGGAGCAGGGAGAAGCAAAGTCAGGCTCCTGAGCTGTGTGGAATCTCTGAGCATTGCTGGCTGTCCCCAGCAGAGCCCTGTTTTAGGTACTGTTAGAGTTTAGGTGCTGTTAGAGGTGCTGTCCCTGTTTTACGAGCAGGAGTCCTTGACTCCATCAGGCCAAGCTTCTCCACCTGGTCCTTCAGATGTTCCTGGAGCAAAACCACTTGCCTTTCATGCAGGGCCTGTGAAAGCTTTGAATGAACCCTGTAGGCTTTTAATCACTTTATTCACACCTTGGCAATATCTGTGATTTCATTGCCCTTAATCAACAGAAGTGCTTGCCTGTGACAGTTACTAATAAACAAAAATGGAGGCTATTGATTATGAAAATCTGRTCTTCACTGGTAAATCTGTAAGCATTAATATGGAAAGGAAACCTACAGATTATAATAACCTCTCATTTCTAGCAGAGAAATCTCGAAATATATCCCACAAGCATTTATGTAAATTGAATGTCTCTGCTTGTATGTTTGTTTCCCAGCACTGTGCATATGAATTGGAAAATTTGGCTTTATACCCCAGGGCTCTCCTGACACCCTCATTGTCTGACGTATTTATGTGAAAGTCTGGGAACTGAAAAGCTCAGAATGCACCTTAAATTTCAGTAATTAACAGCATAAATGTTGGCAAACCGCTGAGCTGGAGAGAACAGGGAGGATGTTGACCCAAATAGGAGTCTGCTGTTTTAAAATAYACAATTTTCAACATTGCTGGGCATCATTAAAAAAAAAAAAAAATGCACACAGTGGATGTTAAAGATTCAGGTTATGGCTAGTTGTATGCTTAAGCCTGTTAATATTGCAGAATCATGCATTGTCTGCATCTCATTGCTGCTACTGCTGCACCTTTCTTTCTGGGCTCTGGTGTAATATGCTTTGTATCCATCACTATTCAAATGACTGAGTCCARTCAGCAAAGTCTTTTGTAAAACAGGCTTTCAGGACTGCATTCTCTAATGAAAGTCTGTTTGTGTGTGTGCTCTGTGCAGTGCCTGTCTCTATTGTTGGGGAAGGATTAGTATTCCTATAGCATAGGGAAATTCAAGCCAACAGAGGGATCTGATTGTGCTAGGTGCTGTACAGTCACCTCTTCTTCAAAAGGCTGGTAAAGAGGAGAGATTACAGGTCAGGGAGAAATGACTGCTCTCCACAGACACTGCTGGTGAGGCAGCTTTTAGCTGGGAAAACCTGGGGAGGCAGGAGTTGGTTGGATTCCAGTAGATCTACTGGGCAACAGCTCTTTGTTTCCCACTCCCTAATTTTGTAATACATGCTCAGGAAAAAAAAAACCATAGCTCAGAAGTCATTTAGYAACTGGCCTGCTTGTCTCCCACGGAAAGATCAGAAAACTTTTGAAAAAAACAGCATTTGCAATAAGTAGGAACTTTGTTTACAATTTTTTGCTTCACATACAAGTTGTAATAGAAAATGTATGAAAAACCCAAATACCACAGTGACAAGAATAYAGGAAACCTTAGGAGGGCAAGTTTTCAGGCAGCACACAATTGTGTTTTATTTACTTAATTTCCTAAGTCAGATGAATTTGACAGCATTACCCTGGTAATGAGTTGATGAAAAATTCACCAGCTGCTAAGCATTCTGAAAAACTACTTGGAGAATGGAGAAAAGTGTCACTTGGAGAAATCAGGTTTAGTTTGCCAACAATTTATGAACACGAATGGAGAAAAGGCATCTCTTCTCTGGATAATTTATTTGTAACCTATAACTGCATCAAGTAACGATACTGCAATGCTCTAACAACAGACATGCAGCTCATAATTTGTAGCTGAAATAAGGTCTGGACTCTGTTTCTCTGAGAGTCAGCATGATCTAATTCACATCAGATTCCTATCTCTGCTATGTTAGCATGGAAATCAAATGCACTGCCTGTGCTATGYTGCTCCCTTATTGCAGATGTACCTTGCACGTGTAGTTTCACCAATGAGACAGCTGGCTAAGTGATTTTCCCCTTAA